ACTGCCTCCTTACGTAAGCAGTGAGTTGTAAGATAGTCACGAAGTTTCCAAAACCTACATTTTCATTTTACGCATTAAATCGCAGTACGTGGTAATATCGTACAAGACTAAACTGATCTCCTACTTCGAGTCTCCCGATAATACGCTCAGCATGAACATTATACACATTTCGCTCCATTACTGAAGCACCAAGGAACATGCTGCGAGTATATATGTCACACACGCCGCACGTGCCGTCGACCGCAGCAGTCACTGTTCTAAAGCAAACAAAATAAAAAAAATACTTGAAGAAATGGCACTTTGCTCGTGCGTTCGTCTACGCCTTATTTTGGTTATTTACTAGGAATGTTTCATACGGAGAAGGCGAGCGCGCGCAGCGCGTGTATCTATACGTTCGTATAGTATTCTATTTGGTGCGAGAGTAATTTTGCAAAATGTCTCCTAACAGAGTGTAATTCTGTGGAACGTGTTCAACCATCGGTGATTGCTTGAGACCTCCCTGAAGTTGGCTTCAGCTGCCTGAAGCTTTATTCATATCGTAGCGTTCGATTACGTTGTTTGTGTAGGTCACAACGATTCCATTACGTTGTGACACAGTCAACGGGAACATTCATGCTTCGCATGTCGCGTGCATAGGTACTTTGGAGTTAGCCGCCGCACTTCACACGAAGCATGAATGCGGTCTGTCCACGCTTGGAGTTACGAGCGCGAATCACCGACGCGATTCACCAATGAGCCCTAGTAACGTATTAAAAAAAACGACCGCATCAATAAAGATGTTTTCTCTCTCTCTCTCCACGTGGTGAATGATGTTGATTGGGGCGAAGCTCTGGTGGTGCTTGTCTGCGTAGACACTGAGCCGCAGCATGCCGAGCCTTTCGTTCGTTTTCATCCATGTCAGAAAGAGAATGTGTAGTATGGAACGTGGTTATATACGCATTTGAGCATTTGACCGCAGCGCCCTCTCGTCTATAAACGTTGAGCCAATGCATGCAAAGTTTAACGCGATTATATACGCATTTGACCGCAGCGTCCTCTCCTGTACAGACGTTGAGCGGCTATATGCAACGTTTCACCCATGACATCCCCAGCTCTTGAGTTACTACCACATCTCAGAGCCCCCTACTCGTCCTGCAGTCGTGGCCGAGTGGTTAAGGCGATGGACTAGAAATCCATTGGGGTCTCCCCGCACAGTTTCGAATTGTGCCAACTGCGGAAACATTTTTTTTTTGCCCTGCACGAGCACGTGAGCACATGAGTTCACGAGCACGAGCACGAGCACGAGCACGAGCACCTGCAAGATCGATGTGAGCACGGACGCCGGACGGACAAGGCTAGACCCTAACGAGCTTCGCCCCTAAAAAAGATCGGATAGTCGCTAGAGAGTTTTAGTAGATCGTACGCTGCCGGAGAGCGGGCCCGAACAGGCGCGTGCTCAATGAATGCTTCAAAGTGACGGCACGAGCTTCCGATAGCAAAGCGTAGTTCTAGAATGCGGTCTACTAAACGCATCTACTGACAAGATGAAAACGAAAAGGAGGAGTTTCAAGTTTCTGCTTCCAGAGCGACGTTCTCTCCTTTGATAACACTTCGACGTCTCGTAAGCTTCGGGCGGCGCTCACGAGGCGCAGAACAGAAATGGGACGACCCATTTTTTTGGTGTCGTCCCATTTTTGGGGCGCCTGTCCTACCTACTCTTTGTTCCTGTCTCTTTTTCGTTATATTATATTGGGCCTAAATATGCACCAACTAGCCCAGCAACGTACTTTACTGGACGACCCAGATTTGCATCTTAGAGAGGATCTCCAAATATATAATATTTTCAAAACCTTCGGTTTTATGTGTCCTAACCATGTATGACATGATCTGTATTCGACATTTTAAACCACACCAAGGGCTCTTTATGCAAAAAGACACTAAAAATTAAAATGGCCTTGTGAAAAAAAATTATGTTGAAATCGGTACCTTTAGAGTTTCTTGCATAATAAAATTTGGATTTCGCTAAGGTAACTAACAATAACTCTATTTTTTTTTTAATAGTATACGTGTAAGCTTTGATTTTATATATAAGTTATGCCATATCGTGCAACGTAACAAAAGTTATAATCATACAAACCAGGTAAATTATCGTCAGAGGGGTGAGGTCTTAAGTTTTGAACACTATATTTATGCGACACTCTCCGAGCATTGACGTTGTATCCGGCACCGCCGGACTCTCAACGCGGAGCTTGCAGTAGACGTCAAGACAACCTTGCGCGTTTGATAACAGAAGGGAGCCTTCTTAAAAAGTGTTTGGAAACGATAAGGCAAAGAAACCACAGTGACCGCACGATCACTACCGCTGTCCTATATGCAAGAGAAAGAGGTCCACGTGGGAAACATGCGACATCTTCCACCGTGCACGCTACACATACGGGATTTGATTGAATTGGATTGTAATGAATATATGGCAAAAACAAAAACATTCTGTCAAATTTCGAGTTTCTTTTTAAATAAATATATCATTATTTTATTTGCCATATGAAACAGCGTAAAAAAAAAAGAATTGAACGGCAATTCCTTTGCGATTCGTATCTTTTTGGCCGTACCACAATGCTTTTAAGGCGGACTACTTTTTACCACGGAGGCACGTTTTTGTCAAGGTAGTTCTCTGCCCGCCGACCTTTAGGCTTTAGTCCAATTTAGGATGCGACGGAGTTTAAAAGCCCATTTCCACAGTCGTGTTTGGGAGCGTTTGAGCGCGTTTGACTGCGTTGCGTCGAGAAACGGAAGCGAGTGACCGGCACATCTATGATTCGTATGAAGCGTGGAATCCAACTCAAGCAATGGCTTGGCACGCAACATAACAAGCAGGGATCAGGTGGTTCCTTGAATTGGATTCCACACTTCAAAGACCTCGAGCCTTTGGGAACTTGACGGAAACGGAAACGGGCCGCCAGAACACAACAAAAGAAAGTTTGTCTTTGGCTCTGTTCAGCCAGGGGCCGAAATACGCGGCGCAACAACGAACGCAGGCAAGTGCAAAACGGCGCCTCCTCCATCCTCACTGAATAACGGCCCTGTTGCCGGGTGCGTGTCCTCGCTGATCCTTCTCCTCTCTCGAGATCTACCCCCGGGGCTCAGCGCTGCACCAGATCTCCGCTCATCGAGAGCACAGGGAACGTTCGGCGCAACAACGGGGAAATCCTTGCGCCGCCAATGATCGCCTATCCGCCGCGATGCTTTCCGGCGTTGAACGGCTTTTTACGATCACGTTTAACGAGGCCTAGACGCTTTGCGCAACAGGATCTACGCGGTCAGGCCTCGCGGGGAGCCTAAGTGTTTCGACCGGACCCGACCGCCGGGTCCGTCTGGGCCGGCAGTAAAGGTAGCAAAGGCGACCGCCCGGCCTTTTGTTCCTGCCCGCAGTTGCCTCCCCGCTGGGCAGGCGGCTAATTACGCGCCGCATGAGTCGCCGGTGCGCCTTTTCGCCCGCGCCGACGTTAATGCGAGACGGATTAAGGTATACGGCCCACGCGCCCCTTTGAGTGTGGCCGTCGGACGGCCCTGCGCATCTCCTAACCGGAAGACGACTTACTTGCCTGTCGAACAACCTTGTGTGTTTTGTTTGCGGTGATGGCTTTCTCCTGACCGCTGCGGTGCGAGACCCGACCTCCCTCGCCGGCAGTAAGCCGCCAGAGCGAACTCCCCCGCTCGTCGTCGCCAACGGGTCCGGGCTACTTTAATGCGGGCGCGGGTTGAAAAAGGTTCGAAGATTCAATAAGCGCCGCACTGAATCTTTTCTTTATTTTGTAATGAACGCGGGTCACCCTGGTATAGTGTCGTTGCTCACGACGAGTGGGAGGGAGGGTTCTGTGGCCGAGTGTGGTAACGCGCTGCAGCGTGGCAGCGCATCGAGGGAAAGCTCGCGCTGCAGGCTCATGCGTCACGAGCTTAAATTTCAGCGTTTACTGCTATTCGTGCGAGCAATCAAAGATTCCAGGTAGAAGTCGCACTTCTACACCCAAAGTGACCCTGTATTATTCGGTGGAAACGTTAGCGCCCGCTCTTGGAAGAAGACTAAGCTCTCGTCTAAGCATCTGTGGGAGACGACTAATTGGATTTCGGACAACGACTGGGTAGTTGTATTATTTTTGAAGGATGACAAATAAGAAGAAAAGTAAAGTCTTCTCAATAAAAAAAAAATGAATAGGCCGTGTAGCTTTTGGCTGATAACGTCCGAGGTTAGTCTTTGCTAATTTTGGGCCCTCCAGCCGATGCCACCAGCCCAGAAATACAATTGGTCCTTCCAGATTCGGCTAACCATGAAGCGCACGGAATCTAATTCCGGAAAAAAACGTATACGCCGTATTCTAGACAGCGCCAGTGCGACTATCGTCTCACTCAGAGCACTAGGAGAGCCAATCATCACGCTCTACAGAAGTAAGGTGAATGATGCGACTGATAAGAGCGTTTTGATCTACAAATGAAGTCTGCAACCTGACACTTGGCGTACGGGAGCAAACATGCTGAGCTTCATGTCCAGTGTCACACAACTGTGAATACTTTTTTCAATCGTCATCATTCGCCGAGTTTCTTCGTAGATCACGATCCTGGCCCTCCCAGTTTTCTACTGGAAACTGGACACAGAGTCACAATGTACAAAGCTAAAATCTGAATCACTGCACGACTGCACGACCAAATGCAAGGTCGCTTCAAAACCACTTTAAAACGCACAACGTAATTAACGAGGAACTGTTTTAGATAGGACATGAAGTAAGCAAAGGCAGTGACGGTATTGAATCAAAAATAACCCCACATATCGACGATCCTGAGACGCAACGTGAGAAGGGACCTAAAAATAAACCCCCAGCTGGCAAATAAAGGTGAAAAAGAAAAGAAAAAAAAAACCGTCAAGGGTGGGCGTTTACGCCGTTACGTAGCTACAGGAGGTTTGAGGTCTCGCCCAGGCGGGAATAAGAAAAGCTCCGACGGATCCTGGCCTCGGCAGCAGCACTCACCAGGGTCGGGTAGAAGGCGGACGAATCGACGGCCAGGTTGGCGTAATCTGCGGCACCGGCCTGGTCTCCGTAGCCCGCGTTGTAGAACCTGGGCGTGGCCAGCTGCGGGTAGGTGGACAGCAGCCGGGAGTCGTAAGAACTGGCCGGCAGCGAGCAGACAGCCGCGGGCCCCGCCGCCGCCGAGGCCACGACCGGGGCCCCCGGAGACTCGCCCACCAAGGGCCGGGCGGGCTCGCAGCAGGCCGCCGTGCCCGGAGAAGGCGAGTGCCCAGAGCCGCCTCCCATCAGCTGCGCAAAGGGGGACGAGCCTTAGGCGCCAGTCTCACTCCCTTTTGTTCTAGCCGTTCCTCAGTATACGGCCAAATCTTCGCCGAACCTTTCCAACAATCTGCTCTTCGTTTTACCTTCAATTCGATAGCAGACGACGAGCCGATGAGGCCGTCTTTCTGTGACTGCTCGTCCGCCGGCTCATCCACCATGCATACGAGCGCATAAACGGCTCTGTGACTTTTCGCGTTCAGTCTGTGTTCGTGTCTCTAGCCTTTGACACTCAGGCGTGTGCTGAAACGAAGTATGTACAACAGACCATTCCATGATATCCTTCTATGAGCTGCCAGTCTTTGTCTACAGGGCTGTAAAACGAGTTCTGCGCTTGCGCAGTGGCTCTCTTCTGCGGAATATCGGGCACCGCGCTTGCGTCGTACAGTCCACTGACTCTACTTTTTTCACCTATATGGTGTAGAATCGATACCACTTAGAAGACAAGGCCTGCGCGTTTCCTCCTCTAAACGTCGTCACTAGTATATCCCCTCAGCGCCCCCTAGATAGCCCGGATGAGCGCCATCGTCTACATCGTCTGCTACATCGTCTGAGTCATCGTCTGCTTCATCACCTGCTTCAGTGGTTATGCTCACATTAATAGGCTACTATACTTCGTTTCAGCTTAGGTCCGAGCGCGGCTGATATTAAGAGCCGAAGGGCCAATCAAACAGCCAAAGAGGGAGAACGTCATGGCGTGCTCTCTGCAGTTGATAGGACCAGCCGGTATTCGCCGTGTCTCTGTGCGTGCTCCGCCACCGGCTAGTCCTATAGCGCAGAGAGCACGCCATGACGTTGCGCTTTTTGCGCTGTTTGATTGGCCCTTCGGCTCATAACATCATCCGCGCTCGGACATAAGGTGAAACGAAGTATAAGACCAACAGTCTTAATGGTGTCGAACGTGCTCACTCGAATAGGCTGCTAGGACCGGCAATCTTGATGGTGTCGCATGCATGTTGCAAATGAACTGAGGAAGCTCGCTATACTCCGTTTCACCTTATGTTGTACCGCAGAGAAGGCTAGAAGCGCGAGCTCATAGCGTTGGCTGCTGCTCTTAACGCACGAGAGCTTCTGCCGCCGAGATGGGCCGTAGAGCAAGGAGCTCGCGCTTGTAGCCTTTCCTGCGCTACATCATAAGGTGAAAAAGAGTACATCAGCTCGCGCTCAGCAGTGGCGCACACAGCTGTGACCGCCAGTGAATGCGACGTAGCTGTGACGGGGCCCATACTCTCGTAAAGCTTCTGCCTGTTTGCCGCTTGGGGGGGGGCATCTACTTATGATGACGTCATGCGCAGGCCTTGTCTACTATAGTCGGTTGCAAGCTAAGAAAAAACCGGAAATGCCTCTCAGAGGAAAATGTAATCCTACGCCGAGAAACGCCAGCCAATTGTTTTCATGACGTCACGATTCTGTGGACCAATCGCGATCCTTTTGAAAAAAAAAAAAGCTCAACATGGCTGCTGGCCTTAGCAACGCGATGCTATAGTTTCTCGTGACAATTATTCTGCTTTTTTTGCACTGTGTTTTGCGTGCCCGAGGTTACGCCACGAAATCTTGATGGTATCGGCTTGCGTTTGCAGCAGTTTTTGCGCGACGTGAGAATCCAGCGACGCTATCGCCAACGAAAATTTCGAAGCGGGCGCGAGGCTTAGCACTGCTGAAAGGTATGTTAGACGGTATGTTAGACAGTATCTTGGACAGAAAATGAATTGGGAAGACGGTACATTGGACATGACTTTCTTTCTTTCTTTACTAAACAGCTATTTCGTTGACAAAAACGTATTCTAACTTATTTAAATGTCCTGAATGAATTAAATAAATATTGTAGTAGTTTAAGACACGTTTCCTGGAGGAAGAAAAAGCAACGTTGCTTGCGAACTACTTTCTCGACGGCGGAGGCACTTCAGATGGGCGCAATGCGCTTGTGGGTGGAGCTAAAAGATTGTTCTTAGGTTGCATCCGACTATAGGTGGTATTGATCTGGCCCGCGGGTCGGGGTTCGGAGACTCCTGGTCGAGAGAGTCAAGCTTGATGCCCTAATGGCCGCTCTAATGGGAGCTGTCCTCACTGAATGCGCCTTCATTTATAAGTTAGACGCCAAAAACAACAAGGACAGAAGATGAGATGCAGACTGGACGGGGCGCACTTTGAACTAAACTTTAATTAAAAAAAAAATACACAAACGCGAACACAGGCTGCGGTACACATGCGCAACTTGCATCGTTATCCCTGACGAATAAGGAATGCTTAGAAACGATCGTGCCACATAGCAAAACGTGCTATTTTTCGCCACTTCTTTATCTGCATGGTGAATGCGCAATATTTCCCATGCGCATGTGTACCTCAGCCTGTATTCGCGTTTGTGAGTTTTTTTCAAATTAAAGTTGAGTTGAAAGAACGTCTCGTCCAGTCTGCATCTCTTCTTGTGTTCATGTTGTTTTTGGCGACTAACTTTAGGAATGAACAACCAACTAGCCCAACTCGCCGTCTCAACTCCTTTTGGTTTCTGCTGTGAACAGGGAAAAAACGCAATCCGCTTTTCTGAGTGGAGAAACGGATCCGGTTTTTACCATTCACCGCAGAAGACATTATTGAACCAAAGCAGCCCTAAAAAGGACACTACAAGAAGAAAACTAAAGGTTGTTTAGAATAAAGGGAAGCGCCAATCAGTGGGAAACGCAGGTTTATAGTGACGTTATGTTTACATTGCTAGTGTGTTATTAGACACTGGAGGCAGGACTGGCTGAAAAAGTACACGTGACTGCTTGTCGTGATTTTTACGCGTGGTTTGCGGTTCCATTTTTGTCTGAAGCACCCGTAAATCTGCGGATCATCCACACATGCTCATAAATGGATTAAGATTCACGGCTCGCAACGACCATTGCTCGTGGTGGGTGCACGCCCTTGTTGTTTGTGTTTTCCATTAATCTATTACAATAGCGTCACCAACAGAATGAAACAAAAATAAAAATTCTAGAGTTTTTTTTTTAACCTATCTTATTATAAATGAATCTTTTTTTTATCGTGCTACAGAGTCACCAGTTCTTTCGTAGTTAATTCATGTTCAAAAACAGGTAGAAACGCGTTGCAGGGTCCCTTTAAGGATGGCAAATTTCCATCATGCTCAACGTATACCCGATCCCACTGTTTACAAAAACCAGAGCCCACACGCGCTACATCACAGTTCAATCAGTGCAAGCAGCAAGCAGCAAGCAATAGACCTATTGCTATATTACCCAAGCATCAAGGAGAATGCAGGAATTGGTGTTCCACGCGCCGCACGTGCTGGCCTCAGCAGTAGTAACTTTTCTAAAGCCAATACCCAAAACAAATGGCATCTTGCACGCGCGTTCGTCAACGCTTTATTTTGTTTATTTACTTCGAATCTTTTACACGGGGAAGGCGTGCGCGTGTGGCGCGTGGAACGCCAATTTCTGCATTCTCCTTGATGATTGGGTAATATAGCAAATGGTCTATTACAAGCTTAGCGACCCGACAGGTGCACCATGGGCACCAGCACGCGAAGCATGCGCGTGAACGTGGCCTTGACAGGCTTGCAATCGCATGTGCTTGCTCGCACGTGCAGAGACATGGCGACGTCCAGATGCCCTGCTAGCCCTGCTTGCAATCGTCTATAGGCGATTGCAAGCAAGGCAACTGGCCGCCGCCATTTCTCTGCTCGTGCGGAAAAGGAGTATAGACAATAGACCTTCCGCTAAATTACTCAAGCATCAAAGAGAATGTTGGGAACGTAGGTACAGGCGCTGCACGTGCTCGCCTTCCATATAGGAATTAGTTGAAGTGAATACCCAAAATAAAACGTAAAACGTAAAGCGCGTGCGAAGTGCCACTTTTTTTTAAGATTTTTGCTTTCGAACAGTTAGAGGTTATTAGTGCGAGCTTCTAGCTATGAATAAGACATGAAACGTGCTTCCGCAACACGATCTCGCAGTCAATGCAAACGCTACCCGACGACATAACCCAGCGGTCACCTAGCTGCGCTCCAAGTCAAGGCATGTTTGAGCGCATGCAGTTCCACTTATCACTGCAGCGAGAGCGGCGGTAGAATCTCGCGGCCAAGAGAAGGTAATAACCAACTACCAAAGCTGTAAGTTACTGTCTCTAGATTTTCTTGATTGCTATCTTTGCCTCAAGCCCATTTAACAATTTCAAGCCCCCAAGATGTGAACCTATCCAGCGGTGGCCTCCACAAAAATAGTTCGAGGCCACGAAATTGTCTTTCTGCTTCCATTCAGGAATGCGTCTCGACTTTTGACTGTAGAGAGTGATCACTTACTATTTGGGACCAGTGCACTGCGCCTCCTCTTTTGACACTGTATACTCGAGACCTTCTTATATCTCCTTTCGTTCTTCAAACCGACTTTATTTCAAATTCATTTTACAAGATCTCGGGGGCTGTCATGTGATCGGTCTGAGTCGTTTTGGAGCACTTCTTGGAGCAGCGAAAGGACCCTTTGTAGCATAAGTTTGCACTTCATTTTCATACCTACTACTACGAATATTGTGCGTTAAGATTAATGTGTTGGTCTGTCCATCAAAGGACATTGTCTATTTGCCATCTCAGCAGGTTTGATTCCGTGGAACATAGAACTAGCTGTTGCACGTAGACGTACCAGGCACGACAACAGTACACGGAATCTTAAAGGACAGTACGAACAAAATAACATTGAGCACCATGATGTTTCAATGAAGTATTAAACGTTGCAATAGAACCGCAACTATCCTTTCAAATTAAAAAAAACACATTGTAATTTGACTATTAGCACCAATTACAACTCATGTGTAGGACTTCATGATAAGAAAAAAAGAACGGCATGCGAACAATAAATGAACCTTAGAAACAACCCAGTCGTAGTCATTAATGTTATTCCCAAGTTTTCATCCAATCCACCAGCTGACTGAGTTTTAATTTACTCCGGTCACTGGGACATCGCATAGATGGAACCTAT